GCTGGAGGGACGGGCCATGTCCGAGGGCGCCGCGCGGGGGCTGAAGGCGCTCGCGGGCTGCACGGGGCGCCGCGGGGGGCCCGGCTCCTACCGCGTGGGACTGGAGTGGCGGCCCAGGGCAGGTAAAGGCGGGCGCTCCCTGCTTGCGTTCGTTTAGTCTCTGAATAGAATAGGCGGTAACTTAAAGGCAGGCGCGTGGAAGAGAAGTTCTGATGCTTGAGTTGAAAGAGTTGGGTTCCTACCTAAACAGCAGCCTGACTATGAATGGAAATGGGGAATTTTTAAGTGCTGTGAAGATCTTTCTATCAAACAGGAGGATATGGAGCAAGTCAATAAAAATTTCCCTGCTCTCTTCCACCCTGCAATAAACAAATAAAAAAAAATACCCCCCCCCCAAATTAATGAACGGCACAGTCAATATAATAGAGCACGTATTGGAATGCCAAAATCATACAACCATAGATGTGTGTTCCCATGTAAGCTCCTGAAGAGTTCCCTTGTGCATCCTCTGTTACCAAAAAGTGTCATGTTCAAAAGGAAAAAGAAAAGGGAGGGCAGGGAGAAAAGGAAGAAAAAGGAGAAAAAAAAAAAAAACAAAGAATATCTTTCTAACTCAGCCTTTTTTTTTTTTTTTTTTTTTTTGGAATTGAAATCTTCTGTGACAGCAGAAGAAATCAGAGTAAAGATAATTTATCTTTTAGACCCAAACTTTTAGCTTATCTGTGTTATCTGTTTTTTTTTTTCCTTTTTTTTTTCTTTTACATTTGAGTAGTCACTTTCTGTGTAAGTGTCCTGACCAGCACTATTTTGCTTCAAATCTTTTTTGTCCTTTCACTTTTAAGCATGTTTTATTGTATGCATTATGTGAACCGCTACAAATATTAAATAATACTAATTTGATGCCCAAAAGACCTTTTCCAAGCTAAGTGCATTTTTGATTTTCTTTTTCAGATGGCTATGCTCCATTTCTTTCTTTGACAAGACGAGACTTGACATTTATTACTCAAGGCAGAGATGATGCCGTCCCAGGACCAGGATACTACAATATTGCCAGAACACAGGTGAGCTGTGAATATTGATTGCATAAAAATAACGTTTCCAACATTGCTACAGAATGGTAATGATCAGCAGTACTGTTAAAACAAAGTTGACTGCAATAATGATTTTCACAAGGTGGTTAAAATAGGGGAAAAAATAGGAAGATGTCATTTCTATGATTATTATTTAGTGTCATTTATCCCATCTTCCTTTGTAAGACACTTGTCATGTAGCCCCTGAAGATGAGTGCTTCCTGATGTTTTTAAATAATCTCACTTTTGCATTACTCTTTTTACGCAGGTGTCATATTTCCTAAACATTTTCTCTTTTTTTCCTTTTTTCTTTTTTTTGTTTAATTCTGAGTTACGAGTGATGCTATAGATAGGCATTTTTCTGTAACCGAATGAACTAATAAGATTCTTATATACTAAGATTCTTGTATTCAATCTGTTAAGTAGCTATCTCTGAAAGAGAAAAATAAATTTGATGGATGCTGAGAGCAAAGATAGAGATGTTTCTAAGGAGGTGATTTTTTACTGCTGCAGTTTGTTCATATATTGATCTTCAAATAACAGTAAGAAAAATGGGAATATTTGTATTTTAAACAAATTGCATTGTTTTTTTCATATGCTTACGTGTCTTAACCAGTATTGTGTTTACATAATTAGAAACATAACAAGATTTTACAACTCAAGGATAGGGTTTGGCTCTTTAATCTATGTGTAAGAGATTTTGGCAGGTTTATAGCTGAGGGATGTGTGCCCCCTTCAGATTGTATAACCAACCCAATGCTGAGACTGTTACGTAAGCTAAACATAGGAGTAAAATTGACATGCATGACAGATTATGGAGTTTGGCATGCTGTTAGCAAAGTTAGCAAAGTTGGAAAAAAACCTCAAAGATAGGGTGAAAATTAGTTTTAAAAAAGGCAGCTAAACCAAATGTATTTTTGCAGTTCTGTAGATGTTAAAAATCTAAGACACAGGAAAATGGAACTGGAATACTTGGTGTTAAAAAGATACTGATGTAAAAAGTATATCAGAAATGTAGTAGAAAGATAACAACCACCAACACGTTGTAATGCTTGTATACAACTTCTGTAAGGTAGATAGACATTTAGTTCTTTCTTTTTTCTTTTTTTCCTTTTTTTTTTCCTTAAAACAAACTCCCAAAAATATGCACAAAAAAACCCTTCATACTTGAATCATACAAGTAACTTAATTGCATTAACTATTGTATTTAACTATTACAAACTGAATTGAAATTCTATGCCTCAGTAGCAGAAGTGTAGTGCCCTAGAAAGATCAAAAAGACTCCAATAGCAAAAAATAGAGTTACGGGGAAGATTTTGATACTTTTCTCTGTATGTTTTGGGTAGAGGGCTCAGCAGGTTTGGCGATGTGCTGAGAGTGGCTTTTTAGATACAATGAATAACTATATAGTAACCTGCAGAAAAGGGTTGCTATTTTTGACGTTCTGTGCAGAATGTTTTTACTGACTAGTTACTGGCAAGTAACCATAAAGTAGGTAAGTTGAGCATCCTTGAAAGGACTGTTGGTGTTGTGGCTAGGGAATAGGAGACCAGGATTGGGTGAAAGTAAGAGGTCTGTATTGGACTTGAATCTTGTGAAATCTATGGAGAGAAGTCGTCCTCATTTCTTCATCTTTGCACCAAAAATGCTGCTGTTGCAGTTCTGTTCTCTTTTGAATCCAGGAGTTTGATCTTCTTAATGATTTCTTAAATTCTTAAGTGGATTTTTGTTTTGTTTTTGGATCCTTCTCTGTTTGCTGGAAAAAATTATAGAATGTGTGGGGAAGTGTCCCTCACTCCTGGAAGATGCGCATCGAAAGCTGTCTGCCTGAGGCAGTATTTCTCCTTATTACTCCCAAAGAAGAGCAATCTACAGACCTTGAAATGGAGTTCATTTTTAGACAAATATTTAAGTCCATATGTCAAGAAGAAAGTGAATCCAGCATTTTAAATTTTAAGATAGAAGGTAAAATTTACAGTTTGTTCATAGACTGAGAGCAAAGCTTGCCTCTTAAGTATTATCAGTGTCAACAGTCACAAATTATATAAAACAGCGCAGCTAGAGGGGGGATAAATCATAGGTCTACCTGATAAAGAAAAAGCCTTTACTGAAGTTGCATAGTAAGTAATGTACTATTTTTACTTTTTAAATTTGTTTTTGTTGAATTCAGTCTTGTACTGGATTGATGAAATGACAGTCATAGTACAATGTGCCATGAAGTCTCTTTACTGCTTCTCCTCATTTATTATCTTCACAAATCTTTCTTCTGCTTAAATTACAATGGGAAAAGATTAAATGATATAATATGTTGATGTTAATAATGTAAATGTTAATGATGTAAATGTCAAGTAGTTTTATTTTTGTTGGCACTTGAATCTGGTGTTGGTTACTCATTGGATGTTCTGGATCACCATTTTCTTCTATGGGCAGATAGTGGTGAGAAGAGTAGGATACAGTGAGTGACAGATGACTGCCTTTGCAGGGCAGCATCTGTTCTTTCCATTTCAATTGAGAAGGGTCATATTATGTATTTCCACTAATTCAGTGTTGTACACCCTTGTTTTCTATTACATTTGCCATAATACTGAGTAAATAATGGATTGTGTAATCATCTGAGATAATATTGATTAAAAAAAAATTGAAAAAGCAATCTATATGCAACATTTAATTATTAAAATTACTTTCAGTACATATTCAGGAAATTCCTTTTTGCAGGGTTGACAGTCGCAGTAGTGGCACTAATGATTAAGTTTTTTTGAATTCCCCCAAAGCTTTTATTCCAGTTTGCGTCTTAGGTCCTATTCAAAGTAAAGAGTCAGTACTTCATCCCTGTTTTCTAATTAATTTTCTTGGTTGATAGTTATATTTTTTTGATGTATAACTTGCCACAGGCTATATCCATTGTTTTAAGCATTACTATAGAGCTGATATGTAAAACCATGTAAATTCTCCAGAAGTTATCAAAAGAATAAAGCTGTAGCTTCTTAGTTTTTAATGGAACAAGAGTCTATCAGTTCTTATTTGATATACTTAAAGTTTTATACATGTTGCTCAATTAAAACTGTTTAAGTCAATAAAATGTTTGCACAGTGGACAAGCACATCTTTTGTCCTCCGCTTGTGTGTGTGTGTGTGTGTGTGTGTGTGTATGTTTGGAAACTACTGTTCTGAGGGCTTGATCAATGATAATGTCTTTACCCTTATACATCAGCTAATATCAAATCTTTTTGTGTGTGTATTTTTTTAACTATTTTAACCATTATTATCAGGCTCATAGTTGATCTTTCTTTTTTTTTTTTTTTTAAATATATTTTAGGATACTATAAAAGGTGGCAAGAGTCTACAAAATAAAGAGAAGCGCTTCAAAGAGATCAGCACAGTTACTCCAGGCCCTGGCAGCTACAACCATGCTCCTACAATGGAGTTGGCTACAAACAGCAAAAAGCAGCAAGATTCTCAAGAGCAGAGTCAGCTGGTATGCTAATTTTTAAAGCGTATGTAATATTAATTCCCTTTTAAAATAAATGATCGCAAGTCTATGATGCTATATTTGATAGTTTTATTTACTAACATTAAGAAAAGCTAAGCTCAGCCATGCCAAGTGTAAAAATGACTGAATATTTGCACATTTATGGTTATGTTCATGATATGCAAAACCTGCTTTTACCAAGTTTTTGAAGTTATTGAATTGTATTTTGCTTTACAAGTCATCTGTAGCCTAATACATTGAAAGAAAAAGAAAATCTAGCCATTAACGGTAATCTATTAAAAACAAATAAAAAAAGAGCTTGGTAGAGAAACAAATTTTTGAAATTTAAATTGCAGGAGCTATGGAAGGTGCTAAATAGAAGTAGCTTAGTTTTTTCGCATTACTAAGTGGTAGGTAGGGCAAATACACTGATACCTTCTAGTGATTATAAACACCTAAGGCTACAAACATGTCAAACATTCTTGACGGTGATGGGGAAGCTGGAGGTAAACACTGCATTTTTTTGTTGACTCAGGAGGAGTGTGATTAAGCCTATTGGCCATGGCCTTAAATAGTTTCACAATGTAGTTGGTTTATGCTGTGTAATCTGTAACAATGCAACACAGATACCTTAAATCAATGTTATTTTTGCAGATGTGATATAATCAAATTATCACTGTTGTAGGATTACCTGTTGGTTCTATAGTGTTTTGAGATCTTAAAACTCATACCATAACGTTAAAAATAAGTGGTTTTGTATAATATTGGGCTTTCATTTGCTTCAGGGATACTCCTCTTCAATTTATTCACTGTTTGTTAACTTACTGTTAACCTACTTAAAAAGTATATATAATCTGGGTATATGTGTGTATTTCTTTTCTTTTTCCCAGAGAGTTGTGGATATTTTAAAAATCTGCAGAAAGGTGGATGTTCCCTCTATTCCCTCTCCATGTCAGGCATTTGGATATGAGGAAGCTGAGGATGGCACTCTTAAAAAACAAGACCCACCTCAGAGAGACCTGACATTAGGCCCAGCTTATTATCGGCCACTGTTTGTAAGTAACTTTTGATGACTATTATATTATATTACTGAAGATAATAAGATTTTTTTTGGAAGTTGTCTTTTTAGGTTTTCCCCCAGAATAAGAACTGATATCACTACATTCCTGGCTATAAAGAGGGATGCTTTGAAAGATATGGATGTAAGTTTAATGTAGTCTCGAATAGTACCTGCTTCTCTACTTATTTTGGCTAAAAGACTAAGAGAAAATATGTAGCTTGGAAAGAGAGCTGCTTCTGCTTTTTCAGCTTGGACAGAAAGAGAATGGAATAGCAGATAATAATTTGTCAAGCAGTACTAAAGAAGCTTAGTGGATAGAAGTTGAGCTGAACTGAAATTGGTAAGCTGGGGGAACCCTTTCTGTGATGACTAGTTAGTTTGTGAAAGATTTTAAACTTTCTATTAAGTAAGTTCTGTTCTCTTAAGATATCTTTTCTGTAAGTAGCAAGACTTTATTTTTTATATACTGATTATAAAGTTCATCTCAATTCTCTACATTTTCGTTTCTGATTAAAATGGTATCACTGAACATGAGAATAGAGATATATTCATGTTTTATTCTAAAGATACTTGGACTTTGTATGACTTGCATGGCAATATGGTTTGCAGGTCTAGATAAGTCTGCTGCAAAAAATGCTAATTTCAAATTTTAGCAATTACTACTCTGAAGACTTTTTTCTAGTTGAGTTTACATTGCTTGTTCAAAGTATTAATTCAATGCTTTTTAAATCTTTTAATTTTCAGTCAGTTATATCACTTTTAGAACTGAAATGATATCCAGTCAGAAAGATGCTCTTGTATTTTTTACATGTTAGCAGTTCTACTTCAAATCCATTTGGAGACATTTTATTTCAGAATATAATATAATGTAAGGCATGCATTATTTTTCATCTTTTTTTCTTTTCTGCTTGTGAGATCTAAATTTGAGCATGTGTGATTAACTGGGCTCTTAAATATTCTTGTTGTATCTTCCCTAAGAAATTGCTTATTAAAAAAATCCATCTTCTGTTTGAATATTCTATCTAGCTAACATTGATTGTCCTTATTACAGATGATTCTGATGAAACAGCATCAGATGTATCTAGCTGTATCTATTTTTTTTCCAAAAAAGGGCACATCTGAGCAATACTGATTGCGTAGTGTGAATTACAGTTCGTAATCCAGCAAAATAAAAAAGCAAATAGTTAATCACTTATTTTTGTTTATTATTTTTTTCCGTGGAATTATTTGCCTTAGAATTGCATTAGGGGGCAGCAAAGTCATTTAACGGAACCAATTTGCAAGCTTTTTTTTGAAGTATTTCATGCTCTGCCTGCAGTATTTGACATTTTTTTTTGGAATCACATCCTCTGTGGATGCATTATATTGCTGTTGCAAAGCCCCTGTATAATGCACAGTGTTTTTAAGCACTGGATGAGCAAATGAGAATAGGCCATACACAGATTCTTCATTTCAATAGCTGTTATATAGTTACGCAAATGAAGTAAAGCAAGAGAGTAAGTGCTACACTGAAGAAATTTATGGTGACTATCAGTGTCAGAGTTTCAATGAGAAATAACAGTTCCTGATTACTAGTTTTGGACTATTGCAGGATAGCATTTTGGCTATCTTTATGTTTTATCTTTCAGGAAAGGAGTGACAAAAGGTAAGGAAAACTAACAGAATGTGAAATAAGAAGTTTGTTTTTCTTCTTTTTTTTTTTACGTAATTTATTCAGAAAGCATTTTGGAATTCCAGGTTTAAGAAATGGAATAAAAACATAGCTTTTTGTTGGAATTAAAAATGGCTGTGTTAAAGGATGTTGACCATTTTCAGGCTCTAACCTTTGCACTATTTTGTTCCTCACTCTGACATATGAATGCAAAAGAAATTAAGACCTCTTGGGTGAGAATTCTATGTAGATGCAAGTTGCTTTGTAAATGCTGAATATTGTTTTGATTTTAGCATAAAAGCTACCGAATGTTGGTACAATGGAGCTTAACAAAACTCTGTCAGAAGAACAGGCAATTTTTGTCAGATCTTGGGTACTGGATAATTGTGTTATCTCAACACTGACAGTCACATGTCTTGACTGTGACAATTTTCATGTTTAATGTGCGTATGGGCAAGACTGGTATTTAAAGAGGATTGGCTATTTCTCGATTAATTATTACCACTAAACCATATGTCTTCTCGAAGAACTTTGGAAGTTTATTTATCAACTATATCAACGTCTCTATTTTCCTCAAAAAGTTAAGAATTTTAAGGACAAAGAAGAGCTTTGTTTCTGTCTGTGAATGGAAATAGTGAACACCCTCTTGCCAAAAGATGGACATCTTTCAAGAAAGTATTTAGTAGCTTGTATTTCAGGAACCATAACTTTAGCAAAGGATTTAATTGGCTTGGTACTTTCTAAGTCAAGCCTCTGCTACAGGTCATTACCTTATCTCTAGCTACCATTTACTCTTATGGATAGAATACAGATATGCTACCGTATGGCCCTGTTTGGGGTCTGTGTATGTTTTTTTATATAATTCTACCTGACTTTTGTTTTATTTTTTTTTCATTTTTTTGCATCCCAGATTGCATTGACCTATCTTAGTCTGGTTTTAGACTTTAATATAGGATAGAAATACTGGTCAAAGGTTGTGATCACACTTTTAAATTACTTTAAGGCTTTGAGTTTTGTTAGTGCAGGAACAAAAATTTAAGTGATTCATTGGAGCCTGTTCATCAACATGCTTAACTTTTTGTCCTGAATCTGTAAGTGGCTTTTAATAAAATAGTGCTGTTTTTTTTTTCTTGATATGCTTCTCATTCTGTTTTGAGTAAAGATAATGATTCCTGAGTTCTCTCTTAACTTATTATGGGTACAGATAAGCAATGAATTTTCAAAGCATATTCTCACTGTCAAACAAAAGTGGGACTCAGTCTGCCAAAGCACTTTAAACATATTTAACTGTTAATGTTCAGCTTGCATTTGACTGCAGTAGGGCAGCTTCTGTATTTGAAGCTAAGCACATGCTGAAGTGCTACCATAGATTGATGTCCAAATGCAGTGATAAGGTAGAGTAACAAATTTGCTTTATATTATGTTAGACAGATCAGACCCTCTGATACAGAGATTGGCAAAATCTTCAGTTGAAAAGATTGCTATTTATAATGCAAATATTTTAGCTATTTAAACATACGTACCTGAAATATCACTGAATTATTTTTTTAAAAAGGCAGCTGTTCATTTTCAGTTGCTCTGATAGTGAGTCTGAATATGTTTTGCTAGATTGGCAGTTTCTTTAGAAGTATACATCAGACTGGGAGCTACTTGCAGAATTTAGGGCTGCTTGCCCACCAAGTACAGGTTAGTGGGAGAGCTGGAGGATGTACAGAATCAGTGGCACAAAGCAAGAAAATAAAATTTTGGGAACAGAAAGCAGCATGAAGAGATCTGTGCTGAGAGGAGCTCCTTTTGTTTAAATCTCATAATCTCCTAATGATATAATTCTTAGAGAGTTTATAAAACTTATTGTATAATTGTAGAATTATACACTTCTTAATAGCTTGTACAAGGAAAGAACCCCCTGCCATATGTTCAAATGAGTGTTTTTTTTTAAGGTGTTTTATTTTTAAAAAATGCTTTAAAAAAGCCACTGACAGGGAAGTGGTTATGAGGACTATATAAACATTGTGTGTATGTAATGCAGCTGAATACATCTTTGGGCATCTGGATCTTGGGTTTAAGTTGAGCTGTTCGGTCAATGCACAAAGAGCTTCGGGTAATTTTTCAGAACGTGGAAGATGTATCCTTTTAAATCAGCATGTGTAATGAGCCTAAATCTGCTTCCCAGAGTTGTGTATTCAAACGCAGAGTACTGCTGGAGCCTGACACTGATATATTAGCTAATGTGGGTAACATGCTGGGAACTACCTGTGTGCTGTAACCCTGGAAGGCAGCCCATTAGTGCCTGAATCAATGCACTCGGGGACTTTTAATTCTTCACGGAATCTATTTCCATATTTAATTACGGGAAAGTCATAGAAAAAAGGTACAAAGCACCTTCTTCATCCATTTCGTTGTCAACGGGAGTGGTGATTAGTAATTCTTCTGGGAGTTATATTGCAGTGTTCACTTAAAATGATGCAGCTCCTTGCTGAGTTTGCTCCAATTAAGCCATATTTTATTTGCTAATGACTTAAGAAGTTGACAATGACCTTGAAGTTGGTATTGTCAACACTTCTTGGCATAAAGAACTAGGTGATTTAGAGTTAAGACTGCATCAATTTATTCTTGAGTCTTTGTCAGTATTTTTAAAAAGCTTTTAAATTCCATTACAGATGGGGTACTTTACCTGAGTAATGTGTAGGTTAGTAAGTTAAGTAACAGTCAATTTATATTATTTTTATTGCAGTTCTTAGTGGTGTGTGTATGTATGTATAAGACAATGCTGTTAAGTTTGAAAAAGTGTACTGAAATGGCTCATCTTTAAAATTTTGTACCTTAATCACTATAAATGCAATTTATTACTGTCACATTTCTGTTTGCCATAAGCTACCCAAATATATATAAATCTATCTATGTAGGTATTATATTTCCGTATGTTAGAAGTTATACTTTATCATGGTCTAGCAGAAAAGCATCAGTTTAACCAGAAACATGATTTAGTTTATATATAAAACAATAGTTGTTAGTGTAATTGAACAGAATAATTTGCTGATTTTTTATGAATTCTTGGTAATTTAAGATGAAGGAAAATGAATAATAAAGTTCTCCAATGTGGTCTATAACTGTTTATTACCTCATATTTATGTTTTAATAATAACATGGAACACCTATGCCATTAGACATAATTGGAGGTGAGCCAGTTGTATAACATTTTTAGGCAATCAAAATTATCTTTAGGATAAATGATTGTGATAAGGAACTCTGTTTTGTCATTAAATGGGTTTCTTCTCTCTCTCTCTTTTTTTTTTTTTTTTTTAAAAAAAAACTATATTTATCTTCCTGAAAACTGATGGTGCATGTCTTTTTAATCCAGAGGTAGTCTTGGTACATAATTACACTGCCAATTCATACTTATTTACTGCTGGGAATTATCATTAGTCCCTGTTTTCTCACATTTTTATATTAGATTGTACCTATCTTCCAGAAAAGAAATCTCAGGAAGAAGTAGATGCTACTACTTTGGGGGCTGAGAAACGACTTTATGCTAATTCTTGATGCCCTTAATTTATATATTTTTATTAGATGTTAATTCTTTTGTTGTTATGCTGAAAATACTACTCACTGCATGACATTTAAAAACAAAATGGAATCAAACCACCATCTTTCCTCAGTCAAATGTTTTAGGAATCTAGTCCTTTTAATTTTTTCCTCAAGAAATGAGATAATATTCTATAAAAATTAACTTTAATGGGGCCATCATGAAGCGCATATACCATAATTGAGAAACCATGTGATCTAATTACTGTAGCCTGTTTCTTTCTTAACCTTGCATTTCTCAGTCTCTATATTATATCTAAGAGAATATTACATGACTTCTGGGCTAGTAACTGTGAAGTGCATAGGTTACTTTCAATTATTGAAATGTTGAGTAACAGAAGACAATATAAACTAAAGGCCTCATGAACACTAGTCTTAGTAAACAGCAAGCACAGATTTCAGTTTAAAAAATATTTAAGCATATACATAAATTTTAAATATACAAATGATTTTCATCCTTTTAAACTTAAGGAAGATTGTTCTAAAATTGCTTTTCCAATTTTACATTAAACAGTAAATCAAGTGCTGAACATGCTTCTGTAGATGATAAAATATGGCTAGAAAGGCCCAACATCAGTAGACCTCTGGATGATGCATTCCTATAATAATGGTGTTCTGCCTAATTAATGTTATTTGAAGTATATGTTAATCTGAATTAACAAGGGATTTGAATAAATGATCTTTCTTAAGACTACTCGTTACGACTAATATTTTAAAAGCGCAGATCAGATCTAATGTTTTGTTCATCTTTTTGGATCTTGTATTTTCAGTGCAAAATCCTGATCCCTTAGTACAAGAAGTGATCCTTGAAGATGCTCATGATTTTTCAAATGTTTTTCAGTCATATGAAGCTCATTGCTCTGTAAAGAGGGAATATCTGTGAAAAGGAATATCTGTATGGAAGGAGATAATGACCATAGTATTTAACTTTTTTATTTGCCAAACTATTTTTATATACCATAATGTTATTTTGATAATGAAAAGTGCACACTTTCACAAGATATGTAATATTTCATATCTAATATATTTTTATGAGCTATTGTTGTACTGAGTGAAGTTTATTTACTTCCCAAATGCTGCCCTCAGAAAAAATAAGGAAAATTTCTACAGAGTAATCTTTCACAATTTAATTAAAAAATCCTATTCTGTGTTTATCTAGATATTTTCTTCTGTTATATGTGGTGATGCCTTGTAGAAACCACATGATGGTGCTGTAATCCTTTCAGTCTGTGAATCAACTCCTCTTTGGGCATAATGTTGTGTTGACTACAGGAAGAAAAGGCTTGTGAACATTGAGAACATGTAAAAATTGCTGTGGATTATGTTGGTTTGGGATTAGTGACTGAAGTTTTAGGTACCTAATGAATTTGCTGAACTGGTTGCTTGTTGTTCTTGAAATACACGTATGTGAGACACACTACTCAAGTTCTCGTGATATGTGTATTTAACTTGGTTTTGATTCTGTAGACAAGTAGTAATTCAAATGAGATAGTAATCTTGGATAAGTGAGGTAAGATATACCTGGTTAACAAGAACTTGGCATGAAATCTCTGAGATATTTTTCAGGAATATTTATTTGTGCCATCCTATGAAAAGCGACTTTTGCTGGGGAACTGGCATATCCCAGTCAAATCTTCATCAGTCTTACCTATTTCTTTTTCTCATAAAAAAACATTTTTGAAAGGTAGGGGTTGCAATGAACTTTCTTGATTAAAGTGTTCTTACTGAATTTCATACTAACCTCCGTAAGTTCTCCTGCAAATTCCAGTGGCTTTCAATTTGTGCTTTTGTATGATTTTAACTAATGCAGGGTGACCTTTAATAGCTGGACTGACTGTCAGATATATTCATAGAGTTGAATATGAAATAAAAAAAAAAGTGAAAGTGAATATATCCATGTATTTTTACCTCTGTGAACCAAAGTACCTTTGTGAGGCAGTCTGTTTGATTCAGTTTAGTAAACATCTCCCAGCCATTTAAAACTCATGGCTATAGTATATGTGTGTTTGTGTTTGAAACCAACAATTTATGTCAAAGCGTGTGTGGGAGAAGAGTATGACATCAATATTAGAACAAAATGATATTTGAACATAAAATTGGATTTTTTTTGATGTGCCTCATGTGAAGTGAAACTGTTGCTTCAGCAAGACTTGTTGAATAGATTCTGGACATATATTTGGCAACTAGAAAGATGAATGTGTAGATGTGTACAAATAGTGTAAGTGATAAAGGATCATAGTGCTGAAGGCCGTAACAGGTTGAAGTGGAGTATGGTAACCTAAGTTCTAATGGCCATTCTTATACATTCTGTTCCGTACTACTAGTCTATATAGTTTGGAAACAAATAGGTAATCACTGTGTGTGTGTGTTTCTATAGTGAAATTTGGTCTCTAGAATACCAAACTGCCTGCCTGCTAGATTGTACTGGTGTTGACTGGAGTCAATATTCTTGAAGCTCTGCTAACTGATAACTGAAGTTACTGTTCCCTGTAGTTTCAGCATTACCCATCACAGTACCATTAGTGCAACAGGTTGATGTTAGTAGAGAAATTGGTACTGTCACAATTGCCATTTACAGAGAACAGTGAAAAGGGGTGCAGTTGTGTAAATGAGGTGAAAACATGCTTGGAGGGCTTTTGAATATAATAAAATTAAACCATGGTGTGGTTTATAATGCAACAGTGGTGTATATAATAAGCTATATACGTACAAGATTTGCTGCAGCTTATAAATGCTAATGTTTTATATATATATTTATAGCATATAAATATTTTTGGCTAGTAGATATTACATATTTTACCTCAGTACTGTGTAAAAAGCATAAATATGTGCCCAAAAAATTACAAATGCTCAAATTCATCTTTTTTCCCTCTCGCTTACATCAGGATGCAAGCTATTCTACCCTGAAGTATAAAGGAATACATTTTGGTAATTTAACTGGAAAACGCTACGAATTTAAACCTCAAGAAGGGCCAGGACCTGGACAATATGACTTAACTCAGTAAGTAACAATGTGCCAGGACATTTTATTTTGTTTTTAGTTGGTAATTTCAGAACTGTTTATTCTTTAGAATTAGTTTACTATACCATTTAGTTTTATGTAAAATATATTAATATATTCTGGTTATGTTTTATCATAGTGTTCAAAAGCTATTTTTTCTAGTAGGCATTCAGGCTCATTTGCTGTTATTGAGGTCATATACTTCATGAAGACTTCTCTTTTGTGTATGCAGACATCTTTACTTCTTTCATTGGAAAATTAACCCTTGCAATTATTAATTTTCCTGTTGTTTCAGAGTAGTGAGCATGATTTTAAAGGTTTATTTGACTGAAGAAAGCCAATTTACTTTATACTTGACTATACTTGACTTGGTCTTACAAAAATATAACCTGCTTTCAGTAACTTGGCTGAGCTTTTGGATGTTCATAGAGGCTGGCCCGCTTCTGTATTCGAGAGCCTTTTTGCCCGTTGGAATCAGCTATTGCTGCGCTTTGAGGAGAATATTCTTGAACATGGAGTAGCTCTGCTCTCCTGAGCTCCTTTGCCTGTCAGAGCCATGTCCACCGGGATGGTGTTGGGCAGATCCCTGAGCAAATCAAGGCTGGTGAAGCTCTCTGCTCCACCTGTTGCTGATGAACGAGTTGGGAACATGTGATGGATGTGAAGGCTGAAGTGACAGTGTAGGGGATATAGGGAAGATGGAGGGAAAGTGCCTCTTTCTTAGCAGATCTGATAGCCTTGTTATAAGGAAGGAATTGCTATAGGGAATTAATGTCTGTAAATTTCTGTGAAAGTGCTTATTAAGGTACTAAAAATTATATATTTTTACTATTCTAGAAGTTCTCATTAACATACTATAAAAAGGTAGGTATCAACATTTCTCTGTCCTCCGTTTCATGAGTACAAATGCCTGGCTCTTATTTCTCTTAAAAATAAACAAACAAAAAGCATTCAGATTTGCATCCTCATACCATATTTTTATGGTGAAATAGGAAGATAGTATGAGAAGCTTAGGAAAGACAAAATTTTAAAAACCTCTTTCAGTGATTCCGTTAGCTGATTGAAGAGTGGTGTGGTCTATCTGCTGCCACTGTGGTTTGTGTTAGTAGGCACAGAAAGCCCTGGGCTCATTAAAAAAGACACCTGAGCATGTAGCTCAGGTGTGTAGAATGTGGAGTCTTGCCAGTCTGAATCTTTGTCTCACCTTAAATACCTAAATCACATCTTGGTGTAGGCTCTAAACTTTTAGCACTTTTATTCTTTAATACCTACTTAAGTCTACTTCTGACGACTAGTAATTCTGTGTAATGGTACTTAAGTGTTGATGTTTGTGTCTGAGTGGAGATCATTCTATGCATCTTTCAGAGATCCAGGTCTATAGAGTTTGGGATTAAAATTAAAAATAAACATTACTTCTGCCTATATATTTAACTAATCTAGAGATTATGGCCTTAATTCTTAGTCTCCGGTTTTGAGAAACAGTATGCTCTTTAGATGTGACAGAGTGTGCTTTGATTTCTGTGTGCCTATCTACAGGCCGATTGGTCTTAATTTCCTTTCCGAGGGTCTGTGATGATTTACATCCTTTCCAGGCTCTTCCCCAGAGTGGAATGTCATTTGAAGTAGCTATCAAAAAAAATAAACTTAAAAATTAAAAAACCTTTCTTTTAAACTAAATCATAAAGGGGCTCTTTAGAGTTACTGCTGCTAAGAGAGTTTTCTCATTGGTTTAAAAAAAAAAAAAAGTCTGTGATATAGATTAATCTGTTTTGACTAATTTCATTGTTAAGACCTGAATTGAAATGAGTACCTCATAAGTCATTCGAACTTTTGTTCTATGTGAATTGCAGTAGCATATCTCAGAAACACTATTTTCTCTTGTCTTGGTATGCTTTTTATGCTTTTTCTCCATTGAGTGGTTGTTAGTCATCCTGTGATAAAAGGCGCATGACTTTGTCATTATTGAAACATGACTTGTCTTATTTCTTTGGGCTCACAGTGTATTTCTAGAATAAGGTGAGGCCTCTCCCATTTAGTGAGTAATCTAAGCTTTTATTAGTTATTGCAAACAGCAACTGTTTATAACAGAAGAACATGCTTTTACTGAATGTATTTAAATAGGCATTTAAAAATGAAGACTCATAAATTTTTCCTTTAACTTTCCACAGGGAAGTAGCACTGTGTAATGAAAATGTTAACATCAAAAAGGAAGAAAAGAAAAGAAATGTCCTCTTTATCCCACGGTATCATGAAGCGATAGAATTAGAGGAGGAAAAGAAGGTAATGCCACTTCAGCTTTTTCTACTAGAGTAATATATACCCGCATTTCAGGTATGAAGATCTTGTATTCAGGATGAAAAAATACTGCAATTTATAATGACAAAACTGGTTAAGAATTAATAGTTCTCTCTTCTGTTTTGCTGTAATCCAGGTAAAATAATTTAAGAGCCTAAGCTTTTAATTGTGTGACAGAGCGTATTTTCATACCTTTTATTTACAGATGCATCAAAATGAATTGATTAATAATCATAACTCATCTCGGAATTCATCAAGTTTCAATATACATTAAAATATATATAGAATAAATTACCTACGATGCTGTTTTTGTTTTCTTTTGAAATATAAACTAAATAAATACAATATTTTGTAAGTTTTTGTGTTATGTGGAAGAATTTTGCAATCATTAGGAGTACTTGTGGCGAGAAAGTTAGGGTATGCATTTTTCTTTCCCTCTTAATTAAAATGCTTTATTTTCGTGTTTGTATATTTATATTTTTGGAGATTGTGTTGAAAAGACATTGTGCCACAAATTTCAACTCTACTCTTTTTTCTTTAAGTTTTCCATGTGTGTTGCAAGATTTATTTAAATCTTGTGTATGAGAAAATGCTCTTCTATTTGTACACGCTGTCACTGTAAAGGTGTTGTAAGGTGAAGTTGTAAGGTGAAGGAGATTGAAACCATCAGTTAGAAAGGGTCAGTGATAGAAGAACAGGCAGCATCATTTTACAGATTTCTGGGCAGTAAAGATATCTGGTTGGATTTTCATTACTCGGTGAATAGTCATTAACCAGAACAAAGGACAGAACTGTCTGCAGCTTTGAAAGCAAAGGCAAATAATTTTGTGCAGGTTCAAAAAACATATATATAGCCATGCTGTGGCATTTGTGAACGAATATGAAGTTTTTTTATATGTAGACATAAAGTTGATTGGAAAATAAATAAAAATCACCTGCAAAAGTTGTCTGAGGAAGTGTCCTGGCATAATAGGCCTTTATTGTAAGGAATTATTGTGAGCTACTGTTTCTTACTTGGGATGCTCTCAAACTATAATTAATGAGAAAATTAATTCCTTATCTCGTGCAAAGGGCATAGGACTATGCAGTGACATGAATGGATAGAACTGCATTAGTGGGGGCCAGCTGTTTTCTTGGCATATGATCAGACATGTGCCGTGATAAGAGGTCTTAATGTGGGGTTATGACTTCTCAACTTTTTAAACCTAATCCCTTTGCCTCAAAAAAACAATCGAGTTTTTCCCAAGTACGTAGAGCTGCCCTTGACTTATGTCAAGGGGAAGATGGGAACAATCGCATAAAGGGATATGGAGCAGGCATTACAAAAGAGCAGAGATGAGATGGGTGCTTTTATTGAGGGAAAAAGCAATGCAAGAGAATAGATAGATCCAGGAGGGAGGGAAGAATTGATGGTTGTAGGCAGGAAGTAGTAGAAAAGAAAAGGGCAACTAGGGTTGTGACTGTAGATAGAAGAAAATAATTTATTTTTCTATCTGAATTTAAGGTCAAATAAAAAATGATGAAGGAATGTTGCTTCTTATATTCATAGTACAGGAAATATCTCGTTGCAGTATTCTCTTCAGATTTGATAAGGGTCAGTTTGTGAAATGTTAGTATAAAAGTAAAATTATCACACCAAACTCTGTAAAATTTGATTTGAGATTTAATGTGGTAACTGTAAAGATTAGCTGTGCATTATTATTACATGGACACGTTAAATGTAGGCATTCAACATGAGCAAACTTAACCTTGAGTGTGAGGACTGGATTTGCTTGTGTAATAAGCCTATGTAAGAATAAATGCTAATTTGTGCTTTTTCTTATTGTCAAGGCATTCATGGTATTTATCTTCCTGTAGACTCACAAATTTCTGATAAAATTTGAGTTAATAATGCAACCTTTTGAATCAAGCGGCAACAGAGCAGTAACTTGATCCCTTTATAGTATGCCCCCCTGCTCCCCTCCACAAACCTTGTGAGAATTTCATATCAATGAGACTGTATTGGTCAGGTTTGGCTGAGATTAGCAGGTTTAAAATTGTTACAGGAGGATGGCTAGACTTGCATGCATAAGAGAGAGAGCATGTTCTGGTGATAAGGCTGCCAACTGAAACATTTTTAGTCATCAATTGATTCTGTTTTAGAATCACAAACGTTAAAATAAACAGCTATAACTGTATGCTTATTACAATGTGTCCCCCTGGGAAATATAAGGATTTTCTTTTTGATCTTACCATGAATTTTTATGTCTCAGAATTTTTAAACTTCTTTTGAATCCGAATTTCAGTAAATTAGAATGTTGGATTTTAATGTAGTATACATATATAGATACATAATGTGTTTTACTTGGATTTTTCTACATTAAAAACTAATTCTCCCAATCTCTCACTCCACTCTACCTCTGCTTTCTTTTTTATTAAATGGGGGGCAGGAAGGGAAATTCATATAAATAGTTTCATGATTAAAAAATAAAAGGAGACTTCCCAACTGTAGCGTCAGCAGAATACAGCATTTCCTAGTCACAAGAAGGCTAAAAGTCTGTAATGATTCCAGATGAATCTGAGACTTATTGAAGGTAAGTCCAGTGGATATTCCTCCGTGTGTATGAAGGACATCTGGCTCAGGATGTTCCTGTGCTGCAAATGGATAAAAGTGAGGAGATCATTAGAAAGAAATGTCTCCTCTGCTTGTGCTGTCCTGATGCTTGTCTGTAAAACATGTGCCCTGGTGACATTTAGAGAGAAGGTGCTGGCCTAGATGAATGTTTGGCCTGATTCACTATGACTGTTTTCATGTGTGGGACTCAGGCTTTTTAGCTCGAATAAGATTGTCATGGAAAGAAAAGAGCTGTAAGAAAGAAAAAGGCTGTGAGAAAGAGCAAGAAAAGTATTTTCTCCATATAGGTGCAGGTGTAAGGAAAGGTCATGTGCAAAACTTGTCCTTGTTCCTGAATCATTTCAGACAAAAGAACTGTAGGCTGAGATTTCACTTGGTAGCACTACTAGTGCAGTATTAACAAGAACAATCACAGCTTGGAGAAACGCTGCCACTTTCTCATTTCTTTATTAGTACTGATGACTTCTAGGTAGCCTTGCTTTGATGAATACCTCTGAGGCTGCCATGGAGCAAGAATTTCTGAGCTGAGCATGTGTCAAAAATGTTGCACTGCTGTAAAAAAGGCAAGTGCTGTATTGACATGCGCACATAGAACTATAACATGAAAAGCGTTAGAATTAATACTTAGTGCTACAGATAGCAGACCTTAGCTGAAGCACAGTGTCTCATTTAGAACATCTAAATTCAAGAGAGATACAGACAAATTAGAGGTAGGTTATAGAAAGATAATAGAGCTGATTAAAGATTTAGAGAATGTATGTAAATGGAAAAGATGGATGAATTTTATTTCAAGAGAGGGTCTCTGTATTGGTCTTCAGACAAAAGCTTGTTGAAGAGAGGGAAGGAATAATTTGGTTTCTATAGCCACCTATAATCAGATTCAGAAGAAAGAGGAAATCTCTTTTGTTTCTTTATTGTGCTTAAGCATATGTCTGCATTGAGCTTCCCAAATACGAGTAGCCCTATCCATTTCAGATATTCTGAAGTTACAAATATATTCTTGCACCATACTAAATAAAACAGCTTTGCTGTCTCTGTGTTGGAGATGGGCCTTTTGCCAGTCTGGTAATTATCAGATTTGTTTCCCCCAAAGAAAATGGCAGAAAACCTAGTGACTTGTGGATGTGCTACTTGTGCAACAAGCTAATGGTCCCTTATCTTCCTCTTGTTCTTTGAAGATGGGTGTCTGGCAGAAAGGAGGAATGTAGTAATGGCAGTATATATCTTCCCCCCGCCCCCACCGTGTACTTAGCACTTCTGCTATCTTATTTAATAATGCAACTGTACTTTTTTTTTCCTTGGGCGCTCCTCTTTTCTGTGACCGGAATGATTTATGTGAAGTATCTTTATACAGAGAAATGAGGTTCTGCCCAAAAGAGGCTAAAAAGTATGCTGAGGAGGGGAGGAATTACTCACTGGGTGTTATTGGACTTTTGTGCACTGCTTTCCTTAATTTTAACAAAATATGGATATAATTTCTGCATGGACTATAAGGTTCTAAAACTAAACTGTGCTTTCTCAATTGTGATTACACATTCAAGGGTTATGGGATATTTTTGTTAAAAATAGAACACATTTATCTAACAAAAGAAATCATATATATTTCTTGCAATATTTCTCATAAATATTGCAGGTTTCCATTGCAAGTGAGTTAACTGAAGAGTGATGTAGAATTTCAGAATGTTGTGCACATATGCTATTACAAAGATTACGCTTGCTAGAATTATTTTTGGATGTTCTTGTTTGCTTTTAAGTACAAAAGGCATATTCTTGGCCTGTGAAGGCTTGGATTTGTGAATCGCATTGTGAATAATTCCTTGAATAAAATTTTTAATGCTTCCTCTATGTGCTGTACTTAGCACCCCATTTTTAAAAAGACTACTTTTAACTTAACTTTTAACTTATAGACTTAACCTTTCCTTATAGAAAAAATCAGGGAAACATTCTGTTGTAGATCAGGCAGATTTATGTAGAAAGCTTCATCTCGTGTGTCATGCTAGTGGCTTCTTGCAAAAGAGAATTTGCAGATTATTTTTCCTATATTTACCAGGAATTCATTGCTTATATTCGAGGAAAGTCTTGGTCTGCTATTGACTCATATGGATTAGGAAACTCTGAAAGAAAAAGGTGAAATGCATATGTAAGATAAAGAGCAAATTTCAATTATGTTGTAAAATTGTACTGAGATTTAAAACTTGTCTAAGCCTCTCATTTTTTTCGACATTGAGAATTAAAGGACATTCAGTTTTTTTTTTTTTTTTTTCCTTTCGTTATTATGACTTTGAGAGTTTTTGACTCTCGGACTCTGCTATTACAAATTGGAAAACAACACCCTTATTAAATGAGGTTACATAATATATTAAGAGCTATT